ATGTGAGAAGGAGGATTTTAAATTCTATTCTGGATTTAACAGGAAGCCAATGAAGAGAAGCCAGGATAGGAGAGATATGATCTCTCTTTTTCATTTTTATCAGAACTCTGGCTGCAGCATTTTGGATCAGCTGAACCTAATCAGTTTGTGAGAAACCTCCCTTAGGACTGCCGTTCTTCTCAGGTTAACCAGAGAAGAACTCATTAGTTTTAGTTTTTAATCAAACCTCAAGATTCTGGGATCCTCTGGTTACTAAACTGGGTCCAGTTCTACTCCGTTAGACCAAAACACCCACTGGATGCTGACTTAATTTAGACCTCCAGCTGTTTCTTCTTGGAGCGAGACGATAAAATCCAACATTAACAGGAGTGACATCTAACAAACGTTTATCTGCGCGTTAATCAGTTAAGTCAGTCTTACTGAAAGCCAAACTCTGTTTCTGTTTTGCATCAGAAACCGGTTCTGAAGGCCTCAGGGTGCCTTTTATTGGGTGGGTCTTCAGAAACATTTCATTGAAAGAACCACAGGTTACTCTAGAGCTGTTAAACTCAGAGCTGAGCTCCACAGGCTCTACTTCCAGCTCTGTGCGTTTGTTCAGCTGCTGATAAAGCTGCTGACAGAACGAGGGTCCAGATAGACTTATCTGACCAGAACTGCAGCCGTGGCAACAGCCACATCAAAGCTTCCTGTTCAGACCTGCAACCGTCATCAGAAGCATCCTTAGAAACAGACGGGCGGCGTTTCTCTGGAAACTGATGATGCAACACATGATGCAACCAGCACTGACTCAATTCTCATTCAGGGTTCCTACCAGTGACGTTCACAGACATTTTATGCGCCAGGTGCTCAGGTTGCAAAAAGGGCACCTTGTGTCACAGTAGGGTGGAGGTTTGAATAGGAGGAGCCAAATGCAGACACTGAAGCTGAAGGTGGTTATCTGCAGATTTAATGACACAAAAAGGGCAACAGAAGCAAAAATCCAAAAATATTAAACCACAAAAAACAGGAATACTCACAACAAGGGGCAAAGAAATGACGACAAACCAGCAACAGTGATTGAGCAGGAGGTGCATATATGGGGGAGAGAAACAAAGACCAGGCTCCCATCAGCAGATTGGGAGCAGGCGTGAACAGAGGAGACTAGAAGGGAGCTAGGGAAAAGCAGACTGACACAGGAGAGCAGCAGAGAGCAAACAAGAAATACCCAAGAACTCAAATACAATCAAAAATAACTAGAATAACACGAAAATGGAAATAAAACCAATGAAAACTCAAAGGGAATCATAAACAGAACCAAAACTTGACACCTTGTAGCCGTCAACAGCCGAACACCATCTGATGCTGACGTTTAACGATCGACCGCAGTCCATAGGCAGCAAAGCTACATTAGTGTCAATTAAATAAATAACAATTTAAAAACTACTTAACTGGAAATACAATATACTTGATCAAGTTTTAATTTTTTTATTTTTTTTACTTAATTTTATGTTTAAAAAAAGAACACAATTGAAGGCCAGGGCACAAAAATTTACATGAACGAACTGCCCTGAGTTATCTGGTGCAGGGAACAGATTACGCATTTCTTCACAGTCATTCTTCTTCTGGAAACATAATGAACTTTCGTTGTCTCCTACCCCTGGATCCCGTCTATATTTTAAATAAGAGCCTCACGGTTGACAGTTTTCCAAAGTACATAGAAATAGAATAAAAGTCTAATGCAAAAGCAAGAATTCCAGAATATCTTTAAGTTTATTGGGTTAAAACACTTAATTTATATAAAACAAATGACACTATTATCTTATTTCAAGTGCATAATATGTAACAATCTTATTTTAAGGTTAAAAACTCTCATTCCACTGACAGATCCTTTTATTTTCCCGCTCAGTTTAGAGACAAATACAGTTATTTTCAGAAAATATTGTCCCAAAATTGAGAACATTTCTCTTTAAAAAAAAAAATCTTGTCTTAAAATCTGTGGTTTTTTTTCGTTATCTTCTGCGGGCCTCCTCCTCTTGCATGTTTCCTCTGTCCATAGCGTTCCTTGACAGCGTTGTTTCTAAGGCACCAATTTAGTGCTACTTGGTCCCAATGGAATTTCCCATTGGGAACCTGCTAGCACTAAGATGCTAACTGGTTAGCAAGATGCTTCCGACAAACCGGCCACAACCAAACTTGCTTGCAAACCTTCCACCACAACAATCCCGCCCCCTTGATAATCGACCAATCACATTCACTTCATTCACTCGTGAAAGTCGGGCACCACTCAGGAGAATTCAGAAATGCAACGGTTGGAACGGCTGTTTCCCTACGACTTTAAAGTTATTCTTACAAATTTTGATCATTTGGCCTTATGTTTGCTGTGAAATGTTTAACAGACAAAAGGTAACTACTGTGCTGTAGCTGTCATAAAAGTCCCATAGATGTCATCAGGGATTCCTTACAGGAACCAATACAGCAAATTGATAACTAATTACATCTATAAGGTGCTTTAAGTTACTTTTTTTTAAATTGAATCAAAGAGCTGCATTTTGAAGCGTTCCTTGGCATCTGGTAGAGGCCATCAAAGATGTTATGCTGTGAACTAACTGGTTGGTGAAGGAATTAAATATGTTTAGTTACCTGGATGGTTGGTTGGCCCTTCACCATGGCAACGTCTATTGAGGTGGAGCTACACGTCTGAAGGAGTCAAATTTAAAAAATTAAGTCTCTTGGTTTGTTAGGTCTTTAAATTCATAAATGGCATTTTGCGCCAAAGAATAAGAAAAGGGAAAAAAAAGATTTCAGGAGAATATTTTTTTTGTCCAGAGGGGAAAAGGGCAGGTGCTCTAGCGCCACCTAATTTCTATCTGTGCGTGTCGCTGGTTCCAACACAGGTTAAAATAAGGGACAAAGCAGCCAAAGTCCAAAAACCAGCCTCAGAGAACTTTGAGGAACATGTTTAACAGTGAAGTTTCTTCTGTGTTCTCCCCCATCATCAGAACCAGTAACGGGAAGAGCACCGTCATCAACGCCATGCTAAGAGAGCGGGTTCTGCCCAGCGGCATCGGGCACACCACCAACTGCTTTCTGAGCGTGGAGGGAACCGACGACCACGAGGCATACCTCACCACCGAGGCGTCTGACCACAGACGCAGCGTCTCGGTAGGCCCGCGGCAGCAGCACACCCTGACCCGGGTCAAGATTCTGCTCGGCGCTAACTCCTCCACCTCCATCCACAGACGGTGAACCAGCTGGCCCATGCGCTCCACATGGACCCAAGGCTGGACTCTGGCAGTCTGGTTCGAGTGTTCTGGCCCAAGAGTCGCTGCACGCTTCTGAGAGATGACCTGGTTCTGATGGACAGGTAAATCCACCACACCAGTACTAACAGGGTTGGTCCAGTTCTCCAGAACCTAATGGGTTCTGAGGAATTGGCACTAATCCTGATGGTTCTGGTTCCAAATATAGTTTGACTCTTCTGGGCAGTTTGGTTTCTTCACCTGTAAACAATCCCGAGCAGCAACTCCAAGTTCTACCAAAACCACGTCATCCAGGTGAAGACCCACCCAGCCGGGAGCCATAAGGGACCGCCTTTCTCTGGGTGTCCCTAACAGTCCCTCAGACTGACCCATAATGGTCCACAGCTGCCAGGTTGTAGCTCAGAACTTAAACTGATCTGGAACTTCTTCTGCTTCTCCTCCCTCTGACCTCCTGGCCTCTGGGACAGTCCAGGGACAGACGTCACCCTGGAGTTGGACAGCTGGATTGATAAGTTCTGTTTGGATGCAGACGTCTTCGTTCTGGTGGGGAACGCCGAGTCAACGCTGATGAACACGGTAAGGAACCAGTTCTGTTTGTATTCTGGGTCGATAGACTTCATCTTTAATGCAACATCTGGAGAGCCACAACCAGACCAGCCTGCATGGTGCCACAAACAATTATGGGATGTTCTGGCAGGGCCGACAGGAAAACTAAAGTCTCAGAGGTACCAAACAGTCAGAACTCTAATGCAACATTCAGACCGCAAGCAGGCCTCTGATTGGTCAAATCTACATCCACTCTACTCTATGCGTATTTCCTGTTTGGTACCTAATGGCAGAAACTCTGACTATAGTGGCGTCCACAACGCCTGGCACACCTCGGACACTATCCCAGACACCATACAGGATGNGTGCTACAATGGAATTTCCCATTGGGAACCTGCTAGCACTAAGTTGCTAACCGCTTAGCAAGATGCTTCCGACAAACCGGCTACAACCAAACATGCTTGCTAACATTCTACCACAACAATCCCGCCCCCTTGATAATCGACCAATTACATTCACTTTATTCACTCGTGAAAGTCGGGCACCACTCGGGGGAATTCGGAAATGTAACGGTTAGAACTGCTGTTTTCCTACGACTTTAAAGTTAGTTTTTACAAATTTTGATCATTTGGCCTTATGTTTGCTGTGAAATGTTTAACAGACAAAAGGTAACTTCTTTGCTGTAGCTGTCATAAAAGTCCCATAGATGTCATCAGGGGTTGCTTACAAGAACCATTACAGCAAATTGATTATTAATTACATCTATATGGTGCTTTAAGTTACTTTTTTTATAGAATCAAAGAGCTGCATTTTAAAGTCTCTTGGTTTGTTAGGTCTTTAAATTCATAAATGGTATTTTGCGCCAAAGAATAAGAAAAGGGAAAAAAAAGATTTCAGGAGAATGGGTTTTTTTTGTCCAGAGGGGAAAAGGGCAGGTGCTCTAGCGCCACCTAATTTCTATCTGTGCGTGTCGCTGGTTCCAACACAGGTTAAAATAAGGGACAAAGCAGCCAAAGTCCAAAAACCAGCCTCAGAGAACTTTGAGGAACATGTTTAACAGTGAAGTTTCTTCTGTGTTCTCCCCCATCATCAGAACCAGTAACGGGAAGAGCACCGTCATCAACGCCATGCTAAGAGAGCGGGTTCTGCCCAGCGGCATCGGGCACACCACCAACTGCTTTCTGAGCGTGGAGGGAACCGACGACCACGAGGCATACCTCACCACCGAGGCGTCTGACCACAGACGCAGCGTCTCGGTAGGCCCGCGGCAGCAGCACACCCTGACCCGGGTCAAGATTCTGCTCGGCGCTAACTCCTCCACCTCCATCCACAGACGGTGAACCAGCTGGCCCATGCGCTCCACATGGACCCAAGGCTGGACTCTGGCAGTCTGGTTCGAGTGTTCTGGCCCAAGAGTCGCTGCACGCTTCTGAGAGATGACCTGGTTCTGATGGACAGGTAAATCCACCACACCAGTACTAACAGGGTTGGTCCAGTTCTCCAGAACCTAATGGGTTCTGAGGAATTGGCACTAATCCTGATGGTTCTGGTTCCAAATATAGTTTGACTCTTCTGGGCAGTTTGGTTTCTTCACCTGTAAACAATCCCGAGCAGCAACTCCAAGTTCTACCAAAACCACGTCATCCAGGTGAAGACCCACCCAGCCGGGAGCCATAAGGGACCGCCTTTCTCTGGGTGTCCCTAACAGTCCCTCAGACTGACCCATAATGGTCCACAGCTGCCAGGTTGTAGCTCAGAACTTAAACTGATCTGGAACTTCTTCTGCTTCTCCTCCCTCTGACCTCCTGGCCTCTGGGACAGTCCAGGGACAGACGTCACCCTGGAGTTGGACAGCTGGATTGATAAGTTCTGTTTGGATGCAGACGTCTTCGTTCTGGTGGGGAACGCCGAGTCAACGCTGATGAACACGGTAAGGAACCAGTTCTGTTTGTATTCTGGGTCGATAGACTTCATCTTTAATGCAACATCTGGAGAGCCACAACCAGACCAGCCTGCATGGTGCCACAAACAATTATGGGATGTTCTGGCAGGGCCGACAGGAAAACTAAAGTCTCAGAGGTACCAAACAGTCAGAACTCTAATGCAACATTCAGACCGCAAGCAGGCCTCTGATTGGTCAAATCTACATCCACTCTACTCTATGCGTATTTCCTGTTTGGTACCTAATGGCAGAAACTCTGACTATAGTGGCGTCCACAACGCCTGGCACACCTCGGACACTATCCCAGACACCATACAGGATACTAGTTTTTCAGCTCAGTGTGACAGTCTGTTGGTTTGCACCCGAATCCCAGTCTTTGGGGAACACAAACGGGCGAACTGTGTGTTGTCCGGTGTTGGATGAGGGGTTGTAGACGGTGAACAAGCTCGTCACACCGACACACGGACAACCACAATCCTAGCTAGTTCCTGATTGTCCCTCTTTCGTTGTGGCATGGAATATCATAGGGCAGACAACGCTTCAATATTGGGCATAAATCAAAAATATCTGCGACAAGCTAACTGCGACACACTGCTGCGGAAGGATACACAGCCCTTTACCTGTTGGGTACCCGTTGGGTACATGTTGGGTACCTGTTGGGTACATGTTGGGACATGTCAGATCAGATTTACTTGACCTTGCAACATGGCTCCCTGTCTGGGAACAGGAGTGTTCATTTTCTGAAAGAAAGAAACAGTTTTTTATTTTTTTCCTGCAGGAAAAACTTTTCTTTCACAAAGTGAGTGAACGCATCTCTAAACCAAACATCTTTATCCTTCACAACCGCTGGGACGCCTCGGTGACGGAGCCCGACTACATCGACCAGGTGGGTTTTTGTCTCAGCAGGTGAGCTGTGGCGGCAGCGTTACCATGGGAACTTATTCAGATCTTCAGCATCTCCAGTTTCAAGCTTACTTTGTCCATTGTCCTACTGTCCAGGTAAGGAAGCAACACATGGACCGCTGTGTGAGCTTCCTGTCGGAGGAGCTGGGGGTGGTTGGACCGGAAGAGGCAGCTGGGAGAATCTTCTTTGTGTCGGCCAAGGAGGTCCTGAGCTCAAGGACACAGCGGACACAGGGCATGCCTGAGACAGGTGAAGCAGGTGAGGGACCACCTGCCTCAGCTGGTGGCTATCGACTGAGCAAGGAGATTGGTTAGCTTGCCTGATAGAGCTGTTTTAATAGCTGCAGCATTTCACGTTCAATGTTGCAATAAGAGTCTGGCATTTCTGGCGACAAAGGGCACGCAACACGTTAACGCGGATAACGGACCACCACTAATAAAAATATAATAATTCNGCGGATAACGGACCACCACTAATAAAAATATAATAATTCACTGTTAGAAGAGACATAGATATATGACGGAGCATTAGGGCCAGGCTAGAGAGTATTTTTTTCCTATTTTGAGAAAAGTCGTAACATTGTGATAATAAAGTTATAAAATTACGAGAATAAAGTCTTAACATCATGAGAATAAAGTCCTTATTTCATGAGAAAAAAGTTGTACCATTACGACAATAAAGTCGAAAAATTACGAGATTAAAGTCACAACGTGAATATTTTGAGAATAAAGTCGTAACATTATGCAAATAAAGTCATAAAATTAACTTGTGAAATTATGAGAATAAAGTTGTAACATTATGAGAAAAAATTTGTTGTATTACGAGAATGGTCGTAACATTACCAGAATAAAGTCGTGAAATTATGAGAATAAAGTAAAAAATTCTGAGAATAAATTCGTAACATTACGAGAATTAAGTTGTTAAGTTACGAGAATAGTTGTAACATTAGGACAATAAAGTCATAACATTACGAGAATAAAGTTTTTATATTACGAGAATAAGTCGTAAAATTATGGGAATAAAGATGTAAAATTACGAGAATTAAGTTGTGTTTTATGACAACTCTTACGAGAAGCAGTTTCTTCCATAAAATGAGGAATGTGGAGCATCATGTGAAGTTATGCTTTAGCATCGGTTTGACTAATCAGGAAATCTTTTAGCAGCAGCATCAAACTGGGCAGGATATCAAAGTGGACTCTGGTTGCTGATTGGTCGGCCGTCATCTGCTGGGCGGAGCTCCAAGCTTTCTTTCTGAAACACGTGGTTTGATGACTTAATTTTCATAATATTAAGATTTTATTCTTGTAAGGTTTATTTACGTTTATTCTCAAAATGAAAAAAGAAAATCTCCAGCCTGGCTCTAATACTCCTTTGTAGAGACGGCTCTCAGGAAACTGATTACTTAAAAGGAAACCTGGGATTCAATGTCCTGAACCTGAACTTCCTGCAGGTGGCGCTATGGCAGAAGGTTTCCATGACCGGCTGAGAGAGTTCCANAAACCTGGGATTCAATGTCCTGAACCTGAACTTCCTGCAGGTGGCGCTATGGCAGAAGGTTTCCATGACCGGCTGAGAGAGTTCCACCTGTTTGAGAGAACTTTTGAGGTTGGTAAACCCAGAAACACATTCCCAGTTTGATGTTCCAGTTAGTCACTGCTTGTTGTGACCCAGTTAAGCTCTGGTTCTGACATGGTGAACTGGACTTTTGTCTGCAGGAGTTCATCTCTCATTCTGCGGTTCGAACCAAGTTCGAACAGCACACAGTGAGGGCATGGCAGATCACAGAGGCCATCAAAGCAGTGATGGACGCCATCAACATCGCCTCAGCTGACAGGAAGTTAGCGCTGCCATTTATTTAATGAACGTGCTCCGAGTACGTCTCTCTGACCTCTGACCTCTGACAGGATCTGCTGCCTGGAGGAGCGAGAGGAGCAGCGGGATCGGCTGGACTTTGTCAGAGGACAGATGAGCCGTCTGAGTGACAATGTGAAGGACCGAATCAGAACACTGACAGATGAAGTTGCTGCCAAGGTACAAACATCCTCCTGAGGCATCAGTGGGCAGGTCCAGGACTTAGCAGAACCAGACAGCTCTACATCTTTATTGCTTCTCAGCGTAAAGCTTCTGATTCTGGTTCGGGTCCAAGGCAGAGACTTGCTTCCACCAAAGAGAGAGCACTAACGGACTGGTTACAGTCCATCAAAGAAAGACAAGAACTGCTTAAGTGTTTCCATGGTAACCTCTGTTAGGTGTCTCTGTGCTCAGGTTGCCATGGCGCTGTTGGATCAGATCCAGTCACTTCCTGTTCTTGTTGAGGAGTTCAGAGCCGACTTCAGCCCGACACCAGAAACTCTGCAACTCTACAAAGCTGTGAGTACAGAGCTCCCAGGCAGGGAATGTGGTTCAGTTCTGGGTTCCTGGACCGGTCCAGAACCCGTCTGACAATAACCATCCAGGTGGTTCAATGAAGAACAGGCTTTGGTCCCTGAACGCCTCCTGCTGGGCTGGCTGATTAAAGGGGGCGTTCAGGGACCCAAGCCAGTCACCTTCTAACTGAGCTGGTTCTGTTCTGATAAGGAGGACATGTCACCTGGTAGATAAACCAAACTTTGCAAACTATGGATCGGCTCTTCTCCCAGTTAGGGCTGATTAACTTACTATAGCCGTCACATTGTTGGAAAACTGTTCTAACAGTGGAGAACTCGTCTAAACAGAACCTCAGTACCTGTTGGACTTGTGATTCTGGTGTTCCTGCAGAAGCTGGTGCAGCACGTGGAGGAGAGGCTCGTTGGCTGTTTGGCTCATCGCTGTTCTCTCAGCATCTTCAGAGATATCCGAGAAGCGCAGAAACACATGATTGGTACCGACCCCTCCTCTTTCTGCATCACCCATCCCCAGGGAGGCTGTCCCTGTGACTATCTGATGTCTGTCCTCAGACAGCGTCCGTCCCCTGGTGTCTCTTTCTGTCCAGCAGCAGCTCTCTACTCCATCCTCCTCTTTCGAGATGACCTATGACCTCACTCTGGCCGCCCTCTGTGCCGACTTCAGGGAGAACATTGACTTCCAGTTTTCTTTGGGTTGGACCGCCCTCGTCACACGCTTCATTGGAGCCACCAATGCTAAGCGGGCATTGAGTGGCGGCGAGCGTGGCCTGAAGGTAAGCTCACTTTCAGGTGTTAAAGACTTTCTGATGAAGCAACCGGCTCAAAGGATGCTACTCTGTCCGCAGGAAGGACCAGCGTTCAAGGATGAAGTGCTTGTTTCCGTAGCAACGGGCTTAGTCTCTGTCACCTCCAGGGCGTCCATGGTGGTTCTGGTGATTGGAGGTGTGGTAAGTTCAAAACCCAGAAGATAAACTTCCTGGACGGCAGCTGCTGTTGATTATTAGAAGATATAGAACAATCCAGAAGAAGTTGGTCCTTCTGGTTCTTGGTGGTTTGTTAAGCGGGGCATACTCTGTACGATTTTCTTAATTGTTTCACGCAGCTACAGCTCACACTGTACAACGAACCTGCAGGGTTTAAAAGCCTCTAGCTACCCCCTGTTCACGACACGACGCACGATCAGGCTAAAAGTCGGCACAATTGAAAAATTATTGCACGACTGGAGAATCAGCCCGAAAAGGGCATAAAAAATATTAGAGTGTATTCCTGGCTTTAGGTGCAAGTGAGGCTGTCTCAGTTTTTTTTTTTCAGTGTTTTTCTGGGAGCTTTTCTTAGGTGTTTTCTAGATGTTTCTCAGATGTGCCCTAGGTGTAATCAGAGTTTTGTCCCAGGTGTCTCCTAGTACGGTGGTTGGTAATTTCAGTTCCTGGGGGCCGGTATCCTTCAACCTTTAGATTCACCTTTGTTCAAACACACCTGGATCAAATGGCTGGGTTACCTCCTCAGTATGCAGTATGTTCCTTCACATTCCTCTCAATCATCTTATTCTTTGATTCAGGTGTGTTGACCAAAGACACAAGAACTGGAATTGCCCATCCCTGCCCCAGTATGTCCCAGATGATTTCTGGGTATTTTTAAGGTGTTGCCTTAGTGTGTCTGATGTTTTTTCCTGGTGTTTCAAAGGTTTGTCCCAGTTGATTTCTAAGGGTTTGGTAGGTGGTTTTCAAGAGTGTCAGAGATGGTTAGCTTGTGTTTTCTTGTTTTGTCCAAGGCAGTGGTCCCCAACCCTGGTCCTCCAGATCTACTGTCCTGCAGGATGCATCCCTGCTCCAACACAGCTGAATCAAATGAATAGCTTTTTACCAAGCCTTTACCAAAGGTAATCAGTCATTTGATTCAGCTGTGTTGAAGGGCAGTAGATCTTAGACCAGGGTTGGAGACCACTGGTCTGAGGTGCTTTCCAGGTTTTACCCAAGTGTGTCTCAGGTGTTTCTAGGTGTGTCTAAGGAGTTCTGTTTCTGCAGGTGTGGCGCTCTGTGGGCTGGCGTGTCATTGCCCTGTCCATCTCCCTGTATGGACTCCTCTACCTGTATGAGAGACTCACCTGGACTGATGCTACTAAGGAGCGTGCTCTGAAGAAGCAGTTCACGGAGTATGCGGCTCTGCGCCTCAGAGCGGTCGTCTCCGTCACCAGCTCCTCTTGCAGCCAACAGGTGTACAAGTAAGCCTGGCCCCCACCGACTGAACACCTGGGTGAACAACTGCTAAAGTTTTTAATCGTGTTTGTTTGTGTTTGAGGGAGCTGACAGCCACCTTCAACCGTCTGACGCAGAGGGTGGACCTGAGCGAAGCTGAGTTGGAAGGAAGCATCCGTCAGCTGACCTCCAGGATCCAGAAACTAGAGAAGACCCAGAGGAAGTCCAAGGCCTTTAGGTGAGGGGTGCTTGGTTTATGCTGTCTGACGTCTCAGGCGGGGGGTGTTTATTAGACTGTGTAGGAGGAGGAACATGAGGAAACACAATGACTGTTGTTCTACGAGGGTTTAACTATTCCTCGGTATTTGAAACACCTTTATGGGAAGAACTTACATCTTCAGATCTCTAATAGCAGACTGGAGTTCAGCTGTTAGACCTCCATACGTCTACTTTTAATTAGATTTATGTATAAGTTTGGATTTACCAAAAAGAAACTACAAGCTTTAAACTTTATGTTAAATCTTTCAGTATTTAAGGTCCAACAAAAATCCCACATCAGGTAAATAAAGTCCCTGACATTAATAATAAAACCTTAATAATTTTTTAAGGGTTATGGTTGGAGTTGAATCAAACCTGATCCTAAACTAGTTCCCAAAATAATCAAAGGTTGAGAAGACCGACATGAATGCTTTCAGATGTTAATTCTAATTCAAGGAGCTGGCAATTCAAATTATTACTTCATCATTGCTGCGCTCTCATCACTAACCAGGATCATCATACTGATGATGTGCAATAGGTCTTCTTTCCTGGATATTCAAAAACAATATTCCAACAGCTACATATTCATAGTTGCGGCGTAAATCAGTGTGTGATGCTGTGATTGGTGCTCCTCAGACTCCATCATTACCGAAGAACGTCACATAACATCTTTCATAGTAACATCACTTTACCTAATGGAATTCAAAATGGCCGATCCCTGTGGGTTTAGACCATGGTTAAAAGAGAATTTTTGGTAGGTGCTGTTTAGATACAAATGTGTACAAATTTTTATAACTATTGGACTAAACATGGCTTTATTTCTAGGGGGCGCTGTTGAGCAACAACAGCTGCACAATGGCAGCCCCCTGCTCCCTGAGGGGAGGGGTTAAATGCAGACAGTTCATTTTGTTGATCTGTTCTTGTTGTCACAGTATAATGACAATAAAGTTGGGTTCTATTCTGTAAACCAGGAATCTAATTCCTCCTCTCCTTTACGTTGTAATGTTACCAACAATATAAAGAGCTGCGTTACGGAAGCTTGATTCAGATCAGTTTCACGCTGCGGGGCTCCTAGTTTAACATTCATTATGTTATATTAACTGAATGTTAAAATAGATTAATTAAGCGTTTTCCTAACAACAATTAAAGTGGTGTGGAGAAGTGTTCAATGTTTTCAGATAATTACTGATTTTATTCATTTCTATTAAACATTTCATACTTGCTAATTAACACATTATATTTGGATTAAGAGTTAAAATATCATCAGAATTCCTCAGTAATTTAGATAATAGTAGTAACTACTTAGTTACTTTGCCTAGTAAATAGTTACTTTGGTTGTTCAGTGACTGAGGTACTGGAAGAAGTAACTAGTAACTATAACTAGTTCAGGTTCATTACCAACCAGTTTAGTTAAACACTGATCTGGGATCAGACATCCTGAATCACAGCTTCCTGTCAGCATCCTTCAAAATAAAAGCTTCTGAAGATCCAGTGACCATGTTCTGTTCTGCAGAGAGGTTCTGGTCTGCCATCAGAACTTCAGCTGGACGTTGGTTCAGTAAACGGTTCTGTATTTACAGGAACCGAGCCACGGAGCTGGAGGCCCAGCTGGAGGCCTTCTCTGCTCGGTACCTGCAGGTGGACTGAGGGAGCAGAACCAGCCGGGTCGCCTTCTTCACAGCAGGATCCCAACCAGCGGTTTGGACCCATCTCTCAGAACCAGAGGTTAATCTGATGGTGCTTCAGAACCAGCTTCACCTGCTGAGGAGTTCCGGGCTCTACACCTAGTTGCCGTGACAACAGAGGACCTTGAGGACTTCTGCTTGATCAATCATCTGTTTAACTGATGGTTCTGAGTAGAAGAGCAGATGCTTTAGGTTTTGTATCATTTTGGATGTCTCTGGTTCTCTCTGGTAGAACTCACACAGTCCTCCTGATCCGGTTCTGGTTTCCTTCCCAGTCCTACGGATCGGTCTGGACCAAAGGTTATCTGGTCCTCCTTTCTGCTTAGTTTCAGTCCATCTAACCAGAACCAACCATCAGGGATTGGACCTCTATCCACACAGCACAGACCTCAGAGCGGTCCGTTCAATGGTCCGGTTCTGCCTGGAGCAGAACCATGGAGCAGTAGAACCATGAGCTCCTCACCTCAAACCACATGATGGACCCTTTAGACTCGTTCCTGTTGACCAGCAGGGGGCAGACTGAGGTTCTTCCTGTCCCAGGTTTGGTTCTGTTCTTCAGTCTTTGGGTTCTTCTGCTGGATGGTTTGCGGATCTCCTCTTGTTATCGGTCCCGTTGCTCATCATTCTGCTGCTGCGTCCTCCAGCAGGAAGGGGAGATAAGATGGCCGCCATTACTCTGCTCGTTCTTCCTGAATCTGTTCTCCGGTCGTTCCTCTTTACTGACGCTCACTCTAACTGCAGATTTTCTTTGGTTTCTAATTGTCGGCAACAGTAAACTAAAATTATAAAAATCAAAGAATATTCATGATGTCATTCAGGCGGATGTTTTAAAGCCTTTATTATCATTGTTATAATAGTTTTAGATTAAAATATTGAATCAGATCAGGAGAACATGTTGATACAAAGACAAAACTATAGTTAAAAAGTTCTGTTAATGTGACAAACGGGCCTCATCAGAACATCCGACCATCGCTGGAGGCGCCAGATCCACTGTCTGTTCCTCTGTGCTGGTCCAAAGATCTTCCTTAGAACATTCCCAGCGCTCCTAGACTGGTTTAAATCAGGTGGTCGGTTTGATTCCTGGAGCACAAACAGCCCAAAGACAGAACCGAAACTAGGCTACCCAGCAGCCTGAAGTGACCCATGCGGCCTGGATCTGATATTTTCATGGCAGTCTGAACAACACAGATCCGATTTTGTCCAATACGACCCAGAACACTTGGCTCTGCGGTCCGGAATCCGTACGAATCTGATCTTTTCAAATGCGACCTGCGTCTGAACGGCCAGGTCGCATCCATCCGACCTGAACACCATTAATACCCGACAAAGGTCACTTTTCTTGCTATGCAGAAGCAGCAAGAAAAACAACCATGGCAGACGATGATGCAGAGATCAGTATTTAGTTTCAACCATCTTGAAATGATTGCTTACTGCACGGGCTAAGGTTGAGATGTTCTCCAGCGCTACCATCCATATTTACTTCCTAAACACAGAGCATGCTTGCTAGTGACATCATTGCGTCCTCTACTGTGCATGCAGGCCAGATGCGTTGTCTGAATGCAGTTCACACAGGAGATCACATACAGGTCGCACATATTTGGAAATATGAACGGCAACGCAAAAAAATGGAATAAAAAAAAAAAGGGAATTGAGCATGAAGACCTGCAGTGGGGACGTCACCTTAGAGGCTGCTGGGCAGATGTTTCAACAATCAGATCAAACAGATGTTGAGAACTCCTCCGGTGGATTCAGCAGGCAGTAAAGTGTTTCTATGCTGATGTTTTATTCTGGTCCACTCGGTTCTATTTCCTGGTTTCTCTGATTGGGAGGAAGGATCCAAACCATTTCTGACGGAGGAACAGAAAGAAATCAGTGGGTTCATCTAAAGAGGAACGGTCTTTATTTCAAGGTAGCAGAGTTTTGGGGAACCAGCGATGAAAACGAAGATAAATCAGCGAATCGTCTGCATAGCAAACAACGGGAATCATTGTTGAAGGAAAACTTGATTATTTGGATGGTTTATGTTCTAGCTTTGCTTCCACACATCAGACCCGGTTCCTCCAGATGCTCAGCACCAACTGGACTTGACCGGGTCAAAGTTCTACCTTCAGGCAGGTGGAACACAGGAACCTGGAGCCCAGGTTTGCCTCCAGAACCAGAACCGACACCAGAACTCCAACACCTATAATTCCTTGTTTTTGGAACAAACTGGAACAATAAGGTTGGTTCTGGAGAACAATTCCAGTCCGGTCTATGAACTTTAAATGCTTTAGTTCCTGGTTCAGTCCAATAACTAACAGAACCGATCAGCAGGACGGCAAAACTCCAATAATCTCAAAAAACCAGAACATCTGGAACAAGAGAACTGACAGAACCGAACCTGCTCTGATGGTCTACTATCTAAAGTCTGAATATGTTGGCATCACTCTATGTGATACTGATCTATCTCCATTAAATATATGCAGATATAGATGTGTGTAGCATAGATGTTCAGGTAAATATCAGAGGACTCCAGTCTCCTTAGCTACAGAACCTGCTAAATGTCTCGTTGCTAACCGTCACCTCCGGCCTGACCTTGGGGGCCGCTCTTCCCCTCTGGATTAAACCAACAGAAGGTTCTAGAGGCAGAGGAACCAGGAACCTCCTGCAGGTGGAACTCTGATTTAAAGTTCTGGGGACCGGACCCAGTACCAAACCTAGTTCTGCTCATTTTGAGGGTTCTGGTACCAGTTTACTGACCCAGGTTTAAATAAGGCAGAGGTGCGGGAACCTTTAAATGACTTCCAGAGTGTCTTCAGAACCGCGATCAGAACCTGGACCCAGGAACCCAGACAGCCTCAGAGCTGCCGGCTTAGCCTGAACCTTCCTGTTGGTTTGATCCTCTGCTGCTGAGGAAGAGGAGGAGGCGTGAACTGGGGGGTAGTGAGGGCCTACTGGTTAGAGCAATGTGCTTCTGCTCTGAGAAGGTTGCAAGAATCCGGTTCAATCCCCAAAGCCTCCACTCTGGGTCCCTGAGCAAGACCTTAACCCCACACTGCTCCCCGGGCGCCGCACAATGGCAGCACACTGCTCCCCAGGGGGAGGGGTTAAATGCAGAGTTAATCTCTCCAGTCAGTGTGAGATCAGTGAAGTTCAGTTATTATCATTAACCTCAGTCAGGGGGGGGAACTGGGCCCCGTTGCCATGGGCAACTAGGTCTTCAAAAACCTGATTGGTTGATTGAAGAAAAACTGTGGATTACAGAAACTAGTCCTGATTAACTGTTTGTGATGATGATGAAAACTAAACATTTATATTTCTCCTGCATTATCGAAATGTTAAACATTATGTGGTAAAGGGTTGTCGGTTCGAGCCCCGGATCCTGCTTTCAGTGTGGTTGTGACACTTTACCTGCACTGCCTACTGATGGTGGTCAGAGGGCCGGTGCAGAGGGCCCGGTGCAGAGGGGGCCCGGTGCAGAGGGGCCGGTGGGGCCAGTGTACGGCAGCCTGGCTTCTGTCAGCGAGCCCCAGGGCAGCTGTGGCTACAGCGTAGCTCACCACCATCAGTGAGTGAATGTAGAGTAAAGCGCTTCGTCCTCTGACATGAAAATGCGTTATATCAGAACAAGCATCCTGATCATGGTTCTGATTGGCTTATTGTTTCATTTTCTCGTTCGGCCTCACCTGTTGGAGCTTCACCCTGATTGGCTGCTGGTATAAAGTGGTTTGACTTGGAGGAACGACCAAATATGGAGAAAAACCGGACTGGAGCGATGAGCTGCTGTTGGTGCAGCTGGTGGAGGAGAGTAGAGGAGCTGAGCGGGTCAGTGGACCTGCTGCCAGAACCGCCCTGCAATGATCAACGCTCTAACAGCGAAAACCTGAACCTGATGACATCATCACCAATCCACCGCATTTCCAACGTCCTGCAGTATTTCAGACACACTGGACTCCTCTGGTCTGCACTTTCTACTGATATAGAGTTTGGTAACTTTTCCAAATGTTTATTAATGAGACATTTTAAAGTCTGTAAACTTTAATTGTTCTGAACTAGATTAAATGAAAATGTTTCCTTCTTGATTATATGTTCATGCTATTTATTTATCCTCTATAAATGAGGTTATTAGAAGAAGTCTGGCTGCTGAAAAAAATAAATAAATAAAAGTCCCCCTCCCCCCATGGGCAGGGGTAGTTCTAGCTGAATCTACCAGGGGGCCATGGTGGGGCCCAACAAAACAAAAAAAAACACACATAGTGTGGTGCATCATTTAGGATAATGAGAGAGCCACAAAACTAAGGCTGCAAATGTTTGATGAGGAACAAGGGCCCCAAAAAACACTGGAGAGTCTCTAAAATATATAAAATAACTTCACTCTATATTCATTCCCCCATAGAAATAAAAGTATATTCATTTTAAATAGACTTTATTAAAGTATATATTCAATTACCGTAAATCCTCTAATATTGGCCTGTGTTCCATTAGCGGCTAACAATGGTCTGTCTTGCTGTCGGTGGAGGTAAATAACGGCCGGACTTTAATTAGAACCAACGATGTTCCTGGGCAGTCCACAGCAACCTGTGATAGTAACAGACAAGTACCACAGGGGGGCAGTGTTTGCTAACCGATCCAAGCCATTAGCATGGGAAGGTGGTCTGGTGGTAACCAGGTAACTCAGCTACAGTAGCTTGGTCATCAACCTGCTCTGTACTCAAACGGTAGACTTCAGTTTCAGTTTACCATGGCAGAAAAGAGACGAAAATTTGACATCAAGTTCATAGAGAACGTGCTGAAATATGCTGCAGAGCACTCTGGGTAGCAAGCTGCTAAACTTTTTAACATTCACCCGAAAACAATAAGATACTGGAAAAAGCAGGAAATGGATCTAGTTGCAGCAAACAAGAATAGAGCAAGACTGCCAGGAGGAGGCAGGAAAAAGGTTAGCGAGGAGCTGGACACAAAACTCTGAGTGGATCCATTCAATGAGGGACAAACATTATCGAGTGTCGAGAGCAGTGATCCCAAACAAGGCTCTGGAAATCTACCCTACAGTGACACGATTTCTAGCTAGCAGGGGTTAGTCGCAAAAGTTTCTAAACTGAAATGACCTAGCATAGCGACGCCGCCCCACAATGGCTCAGAAGCACCCAGAGAGAGAAACATGTCTCATTTGTCGACTACGCCAGCAAGACTGTCGTCTCGAAAAGGATTTTAGAGAAGGACATAATATCAATGGATGAGACTGCCGAATGGTTCGATATGGTGTCTTCCACTACCATTGATGTAAGAGGGACGAAGAGCGATGCACTGAAAACAACGGGCCAGAGAAAAGCCAGCTCACTGTTGTCCTTGCTGCCAAGGCTAAAGGCACTAAACTCAGGCCTTTGTCATCTTCTGGGGGGCCATCCGTGAAGAGAAGGCAATGCAGAAGATCTCAGGAGCATCCATCGCCACATCTGCCAACGTCTGGATGAATGACGACCTGACCACAGCATGGCTCAGCTCAGTGGAAGGCAGATTCAGCTCTCGCCCACGCCTGCTGGTGGATTCCTACCTCTGTGACATCAGCGCCTCTAACAAACAGGATTGAAGAACTACAATATCGTAATCGCAGTGATCCCAGGAGGCTGCACTACGTCTGTGCAAGCCCCCGATGTCACGTGGAAGCAGCCATTCAAAGTCAGCCTACATCCTTCCTATGATGGGTGGTCTGCTGGGGACATAGACTAGCAATATACAAGTGGAGGAACCTAAAAGCACCATCCTGCCGTCTGCTTCTGGACTGAGTTCTCTCTGCTTGGGACAAGTTGGACAAGGACCTGATCATCGAGTCCCTCAAAGAGTGTGGGCTGTCTGTGAAAGCAGACAGGAGGGAGGACGACCTCATACTGTGCTTCAGAGGACAGCCAGGCGATGAACGACAGGCCGACTGCTGGCCGTCTGCATGAGGAAGACAACAGAACCGCAGCAGAACATGAGGAGGACCAAGAAGAACCGTACAACAATGAACTTGGTGCAGAGACTGGAGCGACTGATGGGGAGATTAGAGGGAGAGACAAAGAGGAGGAGGAGGAGGAGGAGCATTAAACGGAACTGGAGGATTTATTTTTTTTTTACTTCAAACTAAACACGACAATTTGAGTTTTTGTTATGAATAATTATCACTATGGAAAATGTTTTAAATTAGTTTGCTTTCAGGTGATCAGCGTTAAAATGACAGAATTTCGTTGGCCTTCGTTGTTCTGAATCTCCAGTTTCCGGTAACTTTTTATCTCGTTCTTTTTTTACTTTGTTTTGCAAGTCGGTTTGGCCGAGATTCCATTCTGTGTCTTTTTTCTTTCTTATTGGCATGCAGAAATATAGCAGCTGCTGGAAGATGTCTGAATGACCGGTATTTGTTAATAATGTTCTGCATACCATTATGGTAACTGTAGTTTTTCAATAAATGAATCTGGTATTTTATAGGTTCATAGAGACACAGTATCTGTTTTTATTCATTCCACTGTTGGTCTGTTTGATCAAATAGAAATAGAGGCCTGCCTCTATTTCTGCCCTCTTTCATATAAAGGCCTGGACCAAGATGCACCTGAGTGAAATAAAGGCTCTGGCCTATATTAGAGGATTTACGGTATTCAATTATTTAAAGTACCATTTAAATATTTAATTGTGCATTTTTAAAATTTCATATTTGAATCTTGTATTAGAGATGGCTAAATAAATGAAATCTATTTATTGATTGATGGATTTAGGCTCCCTGTATTTGTCAGGGATCACAGTGATTGTGAAAATCAGCTGGTGACCCCTCACTAGGTGTCTGAAGACCCCCCCAGGTTCCCGGCCCCCCCGCTTTGGGGACCCCTGATCCAGAAAACTGTGATTCTTTCTCAGTCTCAGTCTCAATGAGTCAAAAGGACGACTTGTTTCCATCCTTTCATATCGTAACAAATCGATTTAAGTTTGCAGCTCAGGGGCCAGAACCTGTTCTACAGGGGCCCCTGTCTAGAACCCCCCCCCCCCCCCCATCATTTCAGGAGCTCTGGGAAGTAGAACCTTTAACTGACCGGAGGTCCGGGTCACTTGAAGGAACAATGGAGGTTCTGATGAACATTTGGGTCCAGCTGACAGTCGATCAGCGGGTCGGGTTCTTCTGCGCTCCTGGATCCAGGGCCGGCGGCGCTGCGGCTGAAGCTCCGGCGCAGGACGGAGCAGCTCCGGGTTAAATAAAGGATTGTGCTGAGAAGCTGCAGCCGTCCTGGTGTCTGTGGGCCCCTGGGGGCCCATCACAGGTCCCCCACCTGGAAGGCTGCCATCAGCAGGTCCAGATCCCCCATGTTGGCGGCCTGGAACAGCTCGGGGCGGTCCATCATGGAGATGGCGATGCGCAGGGCGGCCCAGATGTTGGCCGACATCTGCTGCTGGCTGCAGCTCTGACTCCGCCTCTGCTGGTTCAGAGCCGTGAGGAAGTTACTGACGGCCTCCCTGCAGAACCAGAACCAGAACTGGGTCAGACAGGAGCCGGTCCCCAGCAGACGGGGGGAGCGGGCGGCGCAGGTACCTGTGAGCTCCCAGGTTGATGCAGCTGATGCCCAGGTTGTACCTGGAGCGGATGAAGCCGGGCTGCAGCTCCAGGGCTCGGCTGTAGGCCTCCACCGCCTCCTGGCTGCGGTTCCCGTTGGCCAGCGTCGCTCCCAGCCGGTTCCACAGCAGGTAATCCTGGACAAGACAACCGGGACAATCAGACTCAGAGCAAACAGAACCAGAACCAGAACCAGCAGGGGCGGGGCTACCTGAGGTCTGACAGACAGTGCCGCGCTGAAGGCCTCCACCGCCTTGTCAAACTCGGAGCTCAGGTTGTAGAGGACGCCCAGTCCGGTCTGCAGGTCCGGGTCCACGCCGTCCACGTTCAGCAGAGCCGCCTCCTGGAACAGCAGCAGGACGTCCTGCAGCTCCACACTGAAACACAGATTCCAGATTCAGAACAAAGCAAACAGAACCTGCTGGAGTTAAACCTCTGCTTAAGAAACCGTGTCTTGACCCAGATGACTTGGTCATTTATAGACCTATATCCATAATAGATCTAAAACATCCATAATATTCACATTAAAAGTTGTCCATGTGCAGCGGCTCCTCTGCAATACAGAAGGATAGGACAGCTCTGTGTGCACCAAAGCTACGCCCTGAGGTGGAAGAACTGTCGCCACAGTTGTCGTGCGGTTGATTGACACGTCGAGTCGCAGAGGGAAGCAAACGTACCGAGAGAAGCTGGAGGTGAAACCGTTTGGACCTGATCTCTGATCATCTCTGAACATCAATGTTAATCATCAGTCCAAAGACAGAGGGAGACGGTTCACTTTGCTTGTTTCCAGCACCTGGTGTAGCTCCAAGGCTAGGCCAACGGCACGCAGCGAGGCTAACTGCACGCAGCAAGGCTAACTGCACGCAGCGAGGCTAACTGCACGCAGCGAGGCTAACTGCACGTAGCAAGGCTAACTGCACGCAGCAAGGCTAACTGCACGCAGCGAAGGCTAACTGCACGCAGCGAGGCTAACTGCACGCAGCGAAGGCTAACTGCATGCAGCGAGGCTAACTGCACGCAGCGAAGGCTAACTGCATGCAGCGAGGCTA